CTAGCTACCCTGCCTCACCGCTACTGCCAATCTCTTTCATGTGGTATTATGATAAATGTTCGGGGTTCACTTATGAATGAGAACATGTGGTACTCAGTTCTTTGTTTCTGTGATAGATCACTGAGTATGATAGACTCCATCCAAGATACTGCAAAGTTCACAATTTTGTCCTTCTTTATAGCTACATAATATTCCATTGTGTATACGTACAACATTTTTTTATCCAGTCCACTTTCAATAGGCAGCATGGTTGGTTCCATGTTTTTGCTATTGTTCCTCTGGTTATAGGCAACCAATTCCTGATCAAAACCCCAATAGCCCATGCCATAATAGGTAAGATTGACAAGTGAGACCTCACCAAACAAAAGCTTCTGCAAACCAAAAGAAACCATCAAGACAGCAGGGACACAGCCCACAGAATGGGAAAAACAATTTGCCAGCTGTATATCTGACAAAGACCTAACATCCAGGATCTACAAGGAACTAAAACGTGCCAAAAGGATAAAAGTAAACAGCCGTATTAAAAAGTGGGCAAAAGATATGCATAGACACTTCTCAAAAGAAGTCATATCTTTACTTTAGCACTGATTACATAGTATGAGAATTATTTATTTGCTTATTTTCTTCCCCAGCAGACTATGCACTCCTAGAAGAGACAGACCATGCTCCATTCATCTCTGAATCCCTTGAACCCAGCTAAATGACTTTCACAAAGGAGTTTAATGCATTTTTGTTGAGTAAATGAATATACCCTTAAGAGATCCCTGTGTAGAGTGTGTGGAAATTCCCTTGTAACAAGGGTAACTCGTGGAATTTTTTTCTTACCATGAGGTTCCAAGAAAGGCCCAGTGAGGCAGTTAAGTCTAGGATACTGTGTGGTTATGAATAAGTTTATTTATGTAAAGCAACTTCAAAGGAAGAAAATAATTTTTAATTATAAAACTAAGACTTGCTTAGTGTAGGAAAAAAATAAGAATAATGAAAAATGTTTAAGTTGCCCATAATCTTTCTAATCAGAAATAGCAATAGTTAACATTTTGTCGTTTTTCCTTCCAATCTTTCACATACATGCATGCACACAACTACATGTATCCCTACCTAGCATACATTTTCTCTTAACATGTTAAGAACATTTTTCACATATTTACAGTTATTGAAAATATATTTTCAATAACTGCAATAAGGTTGGGCACAATGGTTCACGCCCATCACCCCAGCACTTGGAGGCCAAGGTAGGAGGATTGCTTGAGCCCAGAAGTTGGAGACCAGCCTAGGTAACATGGTAAGACCTCATCACTACAAAAAAAACAAAAAATTAGCCAGATGTGGTGGTGCATACCTGTAGTCCCAGCTACTTGGGTGGCTGAGACAGAGGATTGCCTAAGCCCATAATGTCAAGCCTGCAGTGAGCCATGGTCATGCCACTGCACTCCAGCCTGGGCAACAGAATGAGACCCCTTCTCAAAAAATAATAATAGGCACTTCCTGGCAAGATGGCAATGGAATAGGTCAGACTGTAAAAGTCTCACAAGTGTCCATAAAGACTCTCTGCATGAGTGGGCATGTGCCAGAAGTGAGTGAAAGTCTGTCTGAGGGGAGACCCAGGTTTATGTACCCAGGGCTTTCCTCTGAAGGTGACTGCAACCCACCACCATCCTGAGATTGGAGACCTGGTTACACAGGATTGTCTGCTATTTTCAGGACTCTCTTGAGAGAAGGTAACAGAAAACAGCCACCCCTCACCACCTGGCACCCGGCCCATACCATCACCTCCAGTAGCAGACCAGGCACAAGCAGGAGGATCCATGAAGATGGCAGGTTGGGGAAATCTGGAATAAAGCTCCAATGCTGGTGACAAGACACTGACAGATGCAATCTTCTCAGTCCCAGGATTTGGCAGAGACTTGCATTGCCTCACCCAACTCTGCCCAGCCTCCCTCTTGGGACCCAGAGACTATCTTCTCATCAGACTAGGAGAGACAGACACCCCTCTCCCATGCTGGAAAAGACACAGGCATGTCAGATCTGAGTAAGAGACTTGACAGCAGCAGCAGCAAGTAGGGTGAGTTTGGATCTGATCCATCCTCCTCCCACAGTAGTCTGTGGGGCATCTGACCCATGCTGAGAGCAACCCTATCAGCCTGCACTGAGAGTAGAGGGGAGGGGCTGGAGACCAGAGCTGCTCCCTGAGGCAGAGGCCTGAAAGGAACCTGCAGTCACAGAAATGACCAGAGAGCAATTTGTTTTTCTTGTTTGTTTTTTGTCTCAGTTTTAGCTTTTTTTTCTTCTCTCTTCCTTTCTGTTTTTGTTTACATTTTTGTACTTGCTTTGTTTCTATTATTTTAAATTTTTTTAGATGTTCTGTTTATGTATGGGTATTTTTGAGGGAGAGTACACCAACGGGGGGGAGTTGTTTATTTGTTTGTATGACAGCCTGTCTGTTTTTGTCTTTCTTGTTTTTCTGTCTTTGTCTCTCTGTTTATTTGTTAATTGGTATGCCTGTTTTCCCTCTTCTTCTTCTCTCTCTACACCTCCCTTTTGTCATCCTCTTTCCTTTTTCCATTATTTTATTTCTTATCTCATTGTGCTTTCAGGGGGCAAACAGACACCCCCCACTCCATGGACAGATTGTAAGACAGTGGGAAGTGGGTTCCAGGGGGCCCACACACCTGTCAGCAGTTACTGGGATTTGCAGATAGCTTCTGATTCACAGCTCCCCCTTAATTAAATCTCAACACTGTAAAAAGTACAGGTCCCACCCCCAGTACAGCCTCAGAATTGAACAAAACCAGACGATCTACATAAGGAAGAATAGGAGATTGAGCAAACAGAAATAGAAGCTATCCTCCCATCACTGAACAACAGAATTAAAGAAGAGTTTTTTAAAAGGTAGGGGGGAGGAGGGAGGAAAACCTACACAAATGAAGAAAAACCAAAGGAAGAATATGAGTCTCACACAGACCTCTGGGACATCAGTCACTAAGAATACAGACTCCAGAACTCAAACAATGAAGAGTCCCCAGAATGACTGATCCCAAACCACATACCCACATATCAAGATACTAATAGAGAGGATAAACAGAAATGGAGAGAGACAAAAGGAAAGAATGAAGGAGTTAATAACTGAGATAACAACAATAAAGAATACAGTGAATGAAATTTAAAAAAACAAACTGATAAGCATGGAAAGCAAATTAACTAAGCAGAAGAAAGAATATCAGAGCCTGAGGATCAAAATATGGAATTAATTCAAACTGTTAAAAACATAGAAAAGAAAATTTAAAAGACAGAACAAAACCTCCAAGATGAGAGATTATCTCAAGAGGATAAACCTCAGATTAGTTGGAATTCCTGAGTCAGAGAGACAGAGACACCCCGGAACAAACACTCCATGAAATTATCCAAGAAAACTTTCTTCATCTCATCAGGGACACAACCATTCAAACACAAGAGATTCAGAGAACACCTGCAAGACAACAAATGAAAAGACCAACTCCTAGACATATAGTAATTCTCCTACAAAAAAGTAGATATAAAAGAAAAAATCCTATAGGCAGAAAAAGAGAAAGGTCAGACTACCTACGAGGGAAGACCAATTAGAATAGCAGCAGACTTGTCTACAGAAACACTTCAGGCTAGGAGAGCTTGGAGCCCAATCTTCAAAGTTCTCAAAGATAAACAATTTCAACCAAGAATTACCTACCCAGCTAAGCTAAGTTTCATCAGTGATGAAGAATTAAAATCCTTCCCAGACATTCAGTCCCTAAGAGTTTACGCTGCCTCCAGATGAGCTCTACAAGAAACACTTAAGAAAGTATTAAACACAGAAGAAAGGAAAAAAGAATGACAACACCCATCACAAGAATGTAAGAAAAAGATTGCAAACACACATGAATCAATCCAAAAATCAAAAGAAAGACAACAAACAAATAGCAGCAACAAACTCTATAAGAACCCCATGACAGGGTTTAACTCTCTCATCTCAATAATGAGCCTGAATGCAAATGGACTAAATGCATTAGAAGACATAGAATGGCAAAATGGATAAAATATCATAAGGCTACAATACATTGTCTCCAAGAGACTCATCTTACCAGAAAGGACACTCACAGACTCAAGATAAGAGGAAGGGAAACAAAATTTCAGGTGAATGGAACACAAAAGAAAGCAGAAGTCACAATCTTAATATCAGACAAAATAACATTTAAGCTATCAAAAACTTAAAAAGATATGGAAGGTCACTATATAATGATAAAAGGTTCAATCCATCAACAAGAAATATCCATCCTAAACACATATGCACCCAACATAGAGGCACCAACTTTCATAAAGTTTACTAGGTAAACTAAAAAAGACATTGACTCTAAGACTGTCATAGCTGGGGACTGAAACACCCCACTAACAATCCTAAACAGATCATCAAGACTAAAAGTCAACAAGGAGATCTGGAACTTAACGTAATGCTTGACCAAATGGACTTAATTGATACCTATAGAACACTCCACCCAACAACCACAGACTCTACTCATCACCACATGAAATGCACTCTAAGATCAACCACATCCTCAGCCATAAATCAAGCATAAACACCTTCTCAGACCACAATGGAATAAAAATAAATATCAACACCAACAAAGTTCCCCCAAAATCCACAAAGACATAGATACAAACACTGTGATGCTAAATGATTCATGGGTCAACACGGAAATCAAAACAGAGTTTAAAGATACCTGGAAACAAATGAAAATGAAGAAACATCTTACCAGAATCTCTGGGATGCCATGAAAGCAGTCCCAAGAGGGGAATTCGTATCTCTACAAACACACATGAAGAAAATGGAAAGATCACAAGTTAACAGTCTGACAAATCACCTAAGGAAGCTGGAAAAGCAAGACACCCAAACTCTAACTTCAGCAGAAGAATCCAGACCACCATAATAAAAGCCCAAATTTGGGACATAGAAGACAAAAATATAATACAAAAAAAATTAATGAGAGCAGTGTGAAGAAGAAGAGGCAAGAACGACCCCCAGACCGACCAAAGCCCGCATGCCGCTCCATCCCTGCGTCCAACACCTTAATTCCGCTGCCATCACCACCATGCCCAAGAGAAAGGCTGAGGGGGATGCTAAAGGAGATAAAGCCAAGGTGACGGACGAACCCCAGAGAAGATCTGCAAGGTTGTCTGCTAAACCTGCTCCTCCAAAGCCAGAGCCCAAGACTAAGAAGGCCCCAGCTAAGAAGGGAGAGAAGGTACTCAAAGGGAAAAAGGGAAAAGCCGATGCTGGCAAGGAGGGGGATAACCCTGCAGAAAATGGAGATACCAAAACAGACCAGGAACAGAAAGCTGAAGGTGCTGGAGATGCCAAGTGAAGTGTGTGCATTTTTGATAACTGTGTACTTTTGGTGACTGTACAGTTTGAAATACTATTTTTTATCAAGTTTTATAAAAATGCAGAATTTTTTTTTTTTGAGCTATGTTGTTAGCACACAGAACACTTCATTGTTGTTTTGGGGGAAAGGGGCATATGTCACTAATAGAATGTCTCCAAAGCTGGACTGATGTGGGGAAAACACCTTTCCCTTCTAGTTTTAAGAGAATTTGAAAGTTGTTGTATGCTGTTAAAGATTGTCTGCCCATGTCCTGCCTGAAATACCATGATTGTTTATGAAAAGTATCTTTAATAAAGCTGAGTACAGTTAAAAAAAAAAAAATCAATGAAACCAAAAGCTGGTTTTTTAAAAGGATATACAAGACTGATGGATCCCTAACTACACTGACCAAGAAAAAGTGAGAAAAAGTCCAAATAAACACAATCAGAAATGCAAAAGATGAAGTCACAACTGACCTCAAAGAAATACAAAAGATTATCAGAGATTACTATGTACACCTGTGTAGAAAAAACTCAAAAATCTAAATGAAACGGAGGACTTTCTTATATCACACAACATCCCAAGGTTGAAACAAGAAGAAATCGAGACCCAAAGTAGACCAATAAAAACCCAGAAAATCAACTATGTCATAAGAAAATTATCTACACAAAAAAAAAAAACTCTGGACCAGATGGCTTTCCAGTAGAATTCTACAAAACATACATACAAGGAGGAGCTGATACCTGTCCTATTGAAAGTATTTCAAGCAATCGAGAAAGATGGAACTCTTCTCAAATCATTTTATGAAGCTAACATCACATTGATACCCAAACCAGGTAAAGATCCAGCAAAGAAAAAGAATTACAGGACAATATCCTTGATGAACATAGATGCTAAAATTCTCAACAAGATTCTAACAAAAGGGATCCAGTAACACATCTCAAAAATCCTCCACCATGACCAAGTAGGTTTCATACCCTGGATGCAGGGGTGGTTCAACATCCACAAGACTATAATTGTAAGTAAGTCCATCAACAGATGTAAAGACAAAAACCACATGATGCTATCATTAGACATGGAAAAGGCTTTTGATAAAATCCAGCACCCCTTCTTGATAAAAACCCTTGAATGCATAAATGGAACATACCTCAAAATAGTATGAGCCATCTATGAGAAACCCACAGCCAACATACTGATAAATAGACCAAAATTGGAGCCATTTCCCCTGAAAACTGGAACAAGACAAGGATGCCCATTCTCACCCCTCCTGTTCAACATAGTATTGGAAGTCCTAGCGAGAGCAATTAGACAAGAGAAGGAGATCAGGGGTATCCAAATAGGAAAAGAGGAAGTTAAGTTATCTCTCTTTGCAGATGACATGAATCTATACCTCAAAAACTCAAGAGAATCTGTCAAAAACCTCCTTGCACTGATAAAGGACTTTGGCAAAGTCTCAAGATATAAAATAAATGTGCAAAAATCAGTCGCATTCCTATACACCAAAAATAAACAAACACAAACCCAAATAAAAAACACAATCCCATTCACAGTAGCTGCGAAAAAATGAAATGCCTTGGCATCTTCCTAACCAAAGAAGTCAAGGAACTTTGCAATGAAAACTACAAAACACTGCTCAAAGAAATCAAAGATGACACAAACAAATGGAAAAATATTCCATGCTCATAGACTGGAAGAATCAACACTATTTAGATGTCCATCCTACCCAAGGCAATCTACAGATTCAACACAATACCCATTAAATTACCAGCAGCAATCTTCTTAGACCTGGAAACAACAATACAGAAATTCATATGAAAACATAAACAACCATGAATAAACATAAAAAAATCTCAGCAAAATAAAACAAAGTGGGAGGTATTATGCTCCTAGACGTTCAGCTTTATTATAAAGCTACAGTAATCAAAACAGCCTGGTATTGGTACAAGAACAGGTGCATAGACCAATGGAACAAGATAGAAATTCCAGAAGCAAAAGCTCAATTTCTCAACCAATTCATTTTGACAAAGCCTCTACCATCAACCACTGGGGAGAGGAGAACCTGTTCAGTAAATGGTGCTGGGAAAACTGGCTGACCACATGCAGAAGATTGAAACAGGACCCCTAACTATCACCATACACAAAAATCAACTCTAAATGGATCAAAGATCTAAATGAAAAACCTCAAACTATAAGAACCTTAGAAAATGCAGGAGACACCCTTATGGAAATTGGAACTGGCAACCAATTCCTGATTAAACCCCAAGTGCCCAGGCCATAGGAGATAAGATAGACAAGTGGGACCTCATCAAACCGACAAGTTTATGCAAAGACAAAGAAACCATTGAGAGAGCAGGGAGACAACACACACACTGGGAAAAAATATCTGCCAACTGTATCTGACAAAGACCTAACATCTAGGATCTACAAAGAACTCAAATAGGCCAAAAATAAAAAAACAAACAGCCCCATTACAAATTGGGCAAAAAATATGAATAGACACTTCTCAAAAAAAGACATATGGGCAGCCAACAGATACATGAAAAAATGCTCAGCCTCACTAATCATCAAAGAAATGCAAATTAAAATCATGCTGAGATACCACCTAACTCGAGTCAGGATGGCCATCATCAATAACTCAAAAAACAACAGATGCTGGAAAGGATGTGGGGAAAAGGGAACACTTCTACACTGTTGATGGGAGTGCAAATTAGTATAGCATCTGTGGAAAATAGTGTAGCGATTCCTAAAAGATCTAAAAATCGACCTCCCATACAACCCCACAATCCTCCTAACTGGGAATATACCTGTAGGAACTCAAATAACTCTGTGAAAAAGATACCTGCATACACATGTTTATTGCAGCATTATTCACAATAACAAAAACATAAAACCAACCATGCTGCCCATTGAAAGAGGACTAGATTTTTAAAATGTGGCACATATACACGTTGGAATATTACACAGCCATAAAGAAGGAAAAATTATGAACTTCACAGCAACTTGGATGAACTTAGAGTCTATAATACTTAGTGGTCTATCACAGAAACAAATAACTGAGTATTACATGTTCTCACTCATAAGCAGACCTGGAACAACTATCGTAATAATGTAAGAAAGGGATTGGCAGTAGTGAGAAACTGCCAGGGGAGGGCAGGGCACACCTCATCAACAAGGGTACCTGCATAATGGACATTTGTATATCTAACACTGAATCGTACCCCACATATTTATAAAATAATAATAATAATAACTACATTAAATTCTATTATGAGATGCTCTAGAATCTATTCATTCTCTCAGCAACAATACCAATTAACAAATATTTATTGCTGATCTATTATGTACTAGGTATGAGTGATAAGCTCTGGAAAGATACAATAATAAGTGTCAATATGGTATGCCTGGAGCTTAAGATCCCCTCCTAATGAACATTTAGGTCACTTGCCAAGTTTTGCTACTTTAACTCACAGTGTAACTGAATGTCCTTCTACAGATACCTTTCTGGAAGCTTTTTAATATGTGTAATCTAAGTCAGTAAGGAACACATTTTTATAAATACGCACATATATATGTACATATATGCATGTCCACACACATATAATAATGAAATGAAATTTGTATGAAATGATACTAATCCCTACTGTATACAATGCATTCCTAGTTTTCTATTCTATTATAGGTTAGTCTTTTGAAATTTATTTTTCAAAATGTCTGGTATGACCCATTACATTGATTTATGACCCACTAATGATTAAGAACTTGCCACTTGAAAAACACTGTTATACAGCATGGTAAAGCACCATGGTTTGTCAATACAGGATCTAATAAGAACCTAATAAGACTGAGTGCAGTGGCTCATACCTGTAAACCCAGTACTTTGGGAGGCCGAGATAGGAGAATTGCTTGAGCCCAGGAATTCAAGACCAGCCTGGGCAACATAGCAAAACCTCATCTCTACTAAAATAAAAAAAATTAAAAACTAGCCAAGCATGGTGATGCCCACCCCATAGTCCCAGGTACTCAGAAGGCTGAGGTGGAAGGATTGCCTGAGCCCAAGAGGTCAAGGCACAGTGGCTGTGATTGTGCCACTGTGCACTCCAGCCTGGGCAACAGAGTGAGAAACCTGACACAAAAAAGAAGGAGGAGGAGGAGAAGAAAAAGGAGAAGAAGAAGAAGACAAAACTAAATATCGACCTCAGTTATCAGCTACATTTCTGAAAAAGCAAAAGACCCAGCAAAACCTTAGAAAAGCTACTATTATTGCCATCAGCCAAAGAAGCTACTAGAAGCAATTGCTATTTCTCAATGCTATCACAGACAGTAGGATCAACTAAAGGGAGGAGTTCAAAGGGAGGATCCTTGCTAAGAAGAGCAAGGCCACTAAGAGCAGGGCAGGTACCAGGAGCCTCCACCATCAGGATGTGCCTCCGCTGTGAGAAGTTGCCAAGAACTGCTGAGGCATCCCTGACAGATGATTTGACGGTTAACAGGAACCATCATTACAGAGTATATGGATGAAAGGATTTAAATGCCCAGAGGTCTTTAGCTTTTGTCCTCTTTATAGACCTTGTCATCTTTGAAATCATGGGAATTGTTGAGTTTTCAACATAGTTATCACCAACGAGGAAGAATAACAATTTTCTGGTTGGAAATCCAATAGGGTTAGAGGCCCAGAAAACCACAGAGTTGTCAGTCTTTCGATTTCCTGTGGTCCAGAAAAGAGTAAGTAAGCGGCAATTTGTAGTGAGAGTCTCACAGTAAAGGCAATACTAAGCACAGTCTGCTGATTCAACTAGTTGAAGAGGGTAGGGAAGTGAATGGGTTGCAGGATTACAGGAGGATACAAGAGGCAAAAGATTTTCAAAACAGCTAAATATTTTAGAGTCGGAAGCAAAAATTGAAGCACTTTAGAACCAGACATCTAGGGTTATCAACCAACACGATTTGCCTACGACTATCCCAATTTTCCTGCAACCCAGGAAGCACCTCGATCCTGAGCAAACTGGAACAGCTGGCCACCCTGAGTGGAGTTAGTTTGCAGCTTACTAACAGTATGACTATTTCTCACAGTCTCACTAACAGTGCGACTGACTTAGTAACGGTGTGACTCAACATCTCTTGAGTAATGTACCCAGCATCTATGAGTTTCAGTTTCCTCATCTGTACAATGAAGATAATAGTGTTATTTCACCACCAATAAAGGAAGATCAGAGGTACTTTTTTTT